TGGAAAAGACTCTGATGCTGGGAGGGATTGGGGGCAGGAGGAGAAGGGGACGACAGAGGATGAGATGGCTGGATGGCATCACCAACTCGATGGGCATGAGTTTGAGTAAACTCCGGGAGTTGGTGATGGACAGGGAGGCCTGACATGCTGCGATTCATGGGGTCACAAAGAGGCGGACACGACTGAGCAACTGAACTGAATTGAAAACTTAGTTGTTAAGCTCTAATAGAAGGAAAAAATAATAAGCTAAGAGCAGAAACTAGTGACAGAAAACATACATTCAATAGACAAGATCTAAAAGAACAGAAGTTGCTTTTTTGAAAAATTTAATAAAATATAAATCTGTTGAAACTGCTGATACAGAGAGAAAGAAACAGAGAAATTCAAAAAACCTATATCATGAATGAGTAAGAGAATATCACTACAGACCTGCAGACATTAAAATAATCATAAAAGCATATTATTTAAAAAGAAAACTTTGCCAATGAATTTGAAAATGTTGATAAACAGGAAAATTCCTCCAAAAGCACACCTTTAAAAAATTAATAGAATAATTAGAATATATAAATAGTTCAATAATTTTTTATTGAATTCAGTATTAAAAACCTTCCCAGAATTCTGGGTTTATTTCAGTAATGTAAGCATTAAAATACTGAAAATTAATTTAATTCACCACATTGAAAGAGTAATGGCAAAATATCCTTAAAGAAGAAAACTATTAATTCAACATAAGCAGAAAAAGCATCTGTTAAAATTCAACATGAATTCATGGTGGGAAATGTCCTAATAAATCAAGAATCTGAAAATCATGTCTTAAAAAAAGAAAAACAGAAATAGGACATTCTTCTACTCTGATAAAATGTATCTTAATTTTTAGTGGATTTAGCAAGGTTACTGGACTTAAAATAGATTGCATTAATGCATACTAGCAACAGAAACTCTCATTCATTGTTGGTGAGAATACAAAATGGTATAGTCACTTTGGAAGACAGTTTAGTGTTTCATATGATCAGCCATCTGGCATTTACCCAAAGGAGTTAAGAACTTATGTTCACCCAAGAACCTACCTTATACTAGAGCCTACATTAAAGGCATAGCAGCTTTATTCATAATTGCCAAAACTCGGAAGCAACCAAGATGTCCTTCAGTAGATGAATGGATGAATAAACTGTGATGTGTTCACACATGGATACCGTGCTATGCTTTCTGTGCTTCGTTGCTCAGTCAGGTCCGACTCTCTGCTACCTCATGGACTGTAGCCCACCAGGCTCCTCTGTCCATGGGGATTCTCCAAGCAAGAATACTGGAGTGGCTTGCCAAGCCCTCCTCCAGGGGCTCATCCCAACCCAGAGATTGAACCCAAGTCTCCTGCATTGCAGGTGGATTCTTTTACCATCTGAGCCACCAGGGAAGCCCACGAATACAAGAGTGGGTAGCCTATCCCTTCTCCGGGTGAACTTTCTGACCCAGGATTTGAACCAAGGTCTCCTACATTGCAGGTGTATTCTTTACCAGCTGAGCTACCCAGGAAGCCCACAATGAATACTATTCAGTGCTAGAAAGAAATGAGCCTATCAAGCCATGAAAAGACATGCAAGAACTTTAAATGCATGTTACCAAGTGAAAGAGGCCAATCTGAAAAGGCTATATATACTGGATTGTTCCAAGTATATGACATTCTGGAAAAGGCAAAACTATGAATACAATAAAAAATAATAATAACAAAGAGTTTATATCCAATGTAAAGAACTCTTAGAAATCAATTAAAAAAAAAGACAGGTGAACCAGTAGGAAAAAAGGGGAGAGAAGAATATAAAAGCAAATATCCAAATGCCCAATAAATAAATCTATGAAAATGGGAAATAATTTAAAACCTCAATGAGATACCATTATATATCTATCAGGTGTTAGCAAAGTTATGGAAAAATAAGTACTCTCACCCATTGCTGGTACAAATGTGGAATGATGGCATCACTCTGAAAAACAATTTGATATTATAAAAAAAATTAAGCATACACATACTCTGTCAAACAGCAGTTCCATTCCTAGGAATATACACAACAAAATGAAGTACACATGTATGCCAAGAGACATCTGTGAGAATGGCTATTGCAGCATTGTTTGTAATAACCAAGAACCAGAAGTAACTCAAATGTCCAGCAAGAGCATAATGGATGAATAAACTGTGATATAAGCATACAGTAGAATATTACACAGCAATGAAAATGAAAGATGCACAGTAATATGAATTAATCTGAAGAAATAATGTTGATTGAAATAGACCAAATATAAATATACACTTTATGATTCCATTTATATAAATTCAAAAACAAGCAAAATTAATCTATGGTGTTAGAATTCAAAGTAATCGTTGCCTTTGAGACAAAGGGAGGATACTAATTGACAGGGTACAAGTGATGTTCTCTTTTTTTTTGCCCTGGGTGGTGGTTCTTGTGTACATTCTCTTTGAGAGAATTCATCAAGCTAAACACTAATGATTTGTGTACCTTTGTATGTATGTTAGACTTTGGGTTTTCAAAAGCTTTTTGAAAACTGACCTATAGCATTAGAAGTCAGGACAAAGGGTACCTTTGGGATGGAGGAAGGGAAGATGATTGGAATAGAAAGGAGATAGGAGAGATGTCTCTAGGGTGTTAGGGAAGTTCTCTTCTCAAGCACCGATGTTTATTTCCTCTATGCACTTTTATTTGTATATTTGTATACACAGAACTATATCTGTCTTATGCACTTTTGTGTGTTATAGTAAAAAAAAATAGGAAAAAATATTTTTACATCTATCAGAATTAGAATTTGAAATGTATGCATATTCTAGAAGCCTACCATATTTACATTTCTTAATAGTTGCATTACTTATAAGTAATATGAAATGGCATTTCACTGTTGTTTTTGAATTCAGGGTGCAATCAATTTCACTGGGACAAGGACAAGGACCTATTGCTGAAAGAATGATCAAAGATGCAATGAAATCAGGAAACTGGGTGTTTCTGCAAAACTGCCACCTTGCTGTTTCTTGGATGTTGGCAATGGAGGAGCTAATTAAAACCTTCACAGATTCAAGTATGTTGAGCATATAGCATTTATATAATAATATAATTTTTATGTGGCCTTTCTTGTTGAGTCCAATCCTTATAATAATTACTATTGGCATTGTTTACCCTATATTAAAAGGAAAAATTTGAGATCCAGAGGGGTTTAGTTAGGTTACACGACCCAGATTCAAATAAAAATGTTCAGGCTCCAAGTTGAGGGTACAATGAACTGGGTCATTTTTGTTTCATGTTACCTTCTATGGGAGACCATTTGAATTCAAAATAAATAACATCTAGGCGTGATATTAATTAAAACAAGAAATAGAAAATGGACTTAGGACAAAAGAAGAAAATTCTATTTTTCACTACAGAATGAGAGAAGTTCAGGAACAGAGTTCAAGTTAACACCAATTCTCATGGTGGTGTTTTACTACTTTGTATCCTCTATAACCCACATGACAATTAACTTTCACAAGTGTCTCATAGACACAAACACCCCCACGGGTGTGCCCAACATCTAAGTCATAATTGCCACCACTAACTATACTACTACTGCCTTCTTTACCACTCAAGGAAGTATAATGGACTGCAAAGAGAGAAGAAGTGGAATTGGAATTGACTCATTTTTATTCAGTGGTATAAAAATAGTTGAAACCTTAGGAACTGTACGATAGGTAATAATAATAATAAGCTGGGTGGGACACACTTCCTCACTGTCCCAGGAGGTCATGGAAGAGAACTGCCCGCCTGGAATATCCAGGGCCTTTTCTCTGGTGTCCTCTTTTGTGTCCTGACAGAGGGCTTTCTAGAAAGGTGAGAACTATGCAGATGACTTTCCTTATCGTTGCCTGTTAAGATGAAGACCTTCTCCTTTACAGAGCAGCTAGCCTGCACTGGTCACCAAACCACCAACAGGGCTTAGCAGCCTTCCCCAAAGATCCCTCACTCCCTGATTGCCACATGCCCTGCCTTCTACACACTGCTTGCATCAAGGACAGAGTCTAGCATCTGCCATCCAGAATCTCCACTCTTTCCACTCTTCGCAATACAAACAAGAGACAGCTTGCTTCCTGTGGGGTCTGTGACTTACTTCTATTTAAATAAGTAAAGAAAAATGATAAGTTGTTTACTACTTGAATCATCAGATTCCTTATCCTGATTAGGATTATTATTAAGAAAAAATACTAGAGAAAGCATCTAAAAAGCAGTTTACTGCAGAGGTACTATGGGAGCCTTCTGAATAAGAACCAGTCATTCACCTTCACAATGACCTTGCCAGATCTACAAGGAGGCTGGATGGGCCACGGAAGCCAGAGAAGTTGTTGATGAAGTTTAAGTGCTTAATGGACAGAAAAATCCTCTTCTGGTCCTTGTTACAACTGTTTACTAACATAACCATTTGGGTTCTAATGTTTAACTTGAACTAGTATAAAATAAAATACATTCAGGGAGGGACTTCCCTGGTGGTCCAGTGGCTGAGACTCCATGCTCCCAATGCAGGGGGCCCAGGTTAGATCCCTGGTCAGGGAACTAGATCCCACATGCCACAACTAAGACCAGGAGCAGCCAAATAAATAAATAAATATTTTTTAAAATTACATTCAGGTAAGAAGTTGAAAAGAGAAAGTGAATGAAAGAAAAAAGAGAGAAAGAAAGGGGGGGAAAGCCTCTGGTCTTGAAATTCTAAGACCTGAGTAGAGTTTGGCCCACACCACTGCCTGACTATATATATCACACCTTGTCTCTGGGCCTCCGCTTCCTCAGAAATAAAGTGACTACACAGCCCCACTGCTACAAGTCCCATACTAAGATGATTTCTATTCTATTCCAGTTCTAAACTTCTATGATGTCTATAAATGTTAAGATCCTTGATGCTTTTGCAGTCATGAGAGAAAAAAAGGATTTTTGAGATGCTTCTCTAAGCCTGGCCTTTTTCACTCTTCAGTTTTTTTGTTTGGGGGGCAGAAGGGGGAGTGTTTGGTTAATGAAATCATTAGCCCTAAGATTTTATGATATCTGAATTCTATGCTAATCAGTCAGTCAATTCAGTCGCTCAGTAGTGTCCAACTCTTTGCGACCCCATGGACTACAGCACACCAAGCTTCCCTGTCCATCACCAGCTCCCAGCGTTTGCTCAAATCATGTCTTTCAAGTCGGTGATGCCATCCAACCATCTCATCCTCTGTTGTCCCCTTCCCCTCCTGCCTTCAATCTTTCCCAGTATCAGGGTCTTTTCTAACGGTCAGTTCTTCACATCAGGTGGTCAAAGTATTGGAGCTTCAGCTTTAGCATCAGTCCTTCCAATGAATATTCAAGACTGATTTCCTTTTGATTGACTGGTTTGATGTCATTGCAGTCCAAGGGACTCTCAAGACTCTTCTCCAACACCACAGTTCAAAAGCATCAATTCTTCGGTGCTCAGCTTTCTTTATGGTCCAACTCTCATATCCACACATGATTACTGAAAAACTTTTTACCACAGAAACAACTTTAATGTTGCTCTAGAATTGCACTGAGTTGGTCAAAAAGTTTGTTTGGGTTCTTCCCTTGAACTTTTTGGTCCAACAAAAAGTGGACTAACTTTACTAGAACAATACTAGAACTAACTTAATCTTGGCTATTTAACGTAGCTCATTAGTTTAGATTACTAAACCAAGAAGCATAAATACAACTTTAATCTGCAGCCATTCATTTAATAAATACTTGAGAACCTACTGTGTACCACACACTGTTCTAGCTACTTAGGGCATGTTGGTGAACAAAGCAACCACAGTCATCTGCCCTCCTCAAGCTTACGTGCTAGTGAGTGGAGACAGACAAACCACATAAACAATCCACATAACAAATAAGTAATGTAATGGTACAATAGAATGTGGTCGGTGCTTTCAGAAAAATTTAAAGTAAAGTAAGGAGGAACAGGAAGGTCGGGGTGGAATGGGAGTAAGGAGGAAGGGTGGAGAGCAGTTTTAAATGGGGTGGTCTGGGTAGACCTCTTTGAGAAGTTGGCATTTGACCAACACTTGAGAAAAGTCGGGGAGTCTAAAGGAAGAGCATTCCAAGTAAACAGAACAGCTACTGCCTGGGGGCTCCCCCTAAGGAGCATACCAGAGGAACACCATCACTTTTGCTTAGAGACCAATGCCAAGAAAGGCCTCCTTGGATGATACTTGTGTCTTCCTGAGATAGGAACAGTGGTTTTCCCGGTTCTGCTCTGGCCTTTTGAAACTGGAATGCAGCTTGTTCCTTCTTAGGTTCTCTGTCCACAACTCAGAAAGGAAGCATATTGACTTCTTGATGCTACCTGTGAGGTCTCTCCATTTCCCTGCTCACTGAGTTCCCTTTGCTTCTTCTCTGCAGAAGGAACACATTCCTTTATTCTTCATAAGGCTTTTTGACCATTTTCATGCAATTTTCCCTAAGTTGAACAACAAACAAAAACTAAAACAACTTCACAAGCATAAAGACAGTAAACTGTCCTTTTTTTTGTTTGAAAAATTACCAATTTCAGAGGAATGATCCTTAACATTTCTATCAAGCATTGAAAATCAACATTCCTGGACTTCCCTGGTGGTCCAGTAGTTAAGAGTCTGCCTGCCAATGCAGGGGACACAAGTTCGATCCCTGGTCCAGGAAGATTCCACATACCTCATGGCAACTGGACCTGTGCACCACAACTATTGAAGCCCTTAAGCTTTAGAGCCTGAACACCACAACCAGAGAGTAGCCCCTACTCGCTGCAACTAGAGAAAGCCCATGCACAGCAATGAAGACCCAGCACAGTCAAAATAATTAATAATTTTTTTTAAAAAGAAAAGAACAAGTTCTTAATTTCTTTACTCAACTGTGCTAACATCCAGACTGCCAGACTCACCTGGGTGAAGAGCTTCTAGAAGGAGTCCCCTCACCTCCATTTTAGAACATTTTACAACATCAAATATTTTAAAAAGATAAACTAGTCCTTAAACAAAGCTTATCTTTTTCTATCCTATAATAATTATTTCTTATAGAAAAATATTACTGAATTAAGAATTTTCTTTTTTGTCTTTGTTTTAAACAGATGTTGTTATCAAGGACACATTTCGACTTTTTTTAAGTTCCATGCCTAGTAATACATTTCCTGTGACAGTCCTTCAAAATTCGGTCAAGGTAACATATGCTCGTGGTTGAACTCTGTGACATGATTGGCCTCAGGGTGCTCCCCGAGTGGATCCAGGGAGCCCACTGGGCCTGTGCAGCGCTGTGTCAGGGTTCGGTCAGCCAAGGTGGGGAGGTGGGAGTCAGTGTCCATTCACCGGAGAGTGAGTAGGGAAACAACTTCCCAGGCCATTGCCCTTCCTGTGTGCCCTTCTGCCAGTCATGCAACACCTCCCTGCTTCCCCTCTTCAAGAAATTGTCTAGGACGCAGAGAGGTGAGAATAGAACCCTTCCCAGAGTTAAGAAAATGTTTCAGCATGTGGGAGACAGGAAAGCCCAGAGGCAGTAGGGCTGATGGATTGAAACCTCGATCGTCGTTCACGTAATTCAGAAAGCTTGGATAGAGAGACTTACTAAGGAAAATAGACCTTCAAGCTAAGGGCTGGAGACCCTATGGCAAGTCCTAGAAGGCATCTTTTTTTTTTTTTTTTTTTTTCTGGCCATGCTGCACAGCATTCGGGATCTTAGTTCCCCAACTAGGGATCGAAGTTTCCATATATGGGAAGCCTCTGCATAACTCTGGAGAAGGAAATGGCAAGCCCCTCCAGTATCCTTGCCCGGAGAATCCCTTGGACAGAGGAGCCTGGTAGGCTACAGTCCATGTGGTCGCGAAGAGTCAGACATGACTGAGCAACTAACACACACTTCTGCATATCAATGATCACTCGGGAGCCAGGGTTGTCTCTTCCCTGGTGCCCCGTGCCATCAAGGCAAAGTGTGGAGTGATGGTGGACATTGAGATGAACAGAAAATCCAGTGCAGAAGGCCTGAGCATCCTTTCTGGACTTTGGTTAGAAAAATGGACACCAAAGGGAAAGGTCTGAGGTTCTTGTGGAGGTGGTTCACCCACCCACTGTAGGCCTGAAGACCCCCTATTCTCCAGAGGCCAAGGCTGAAAGAGATACAGAGCTGGCAGGAACAGGGCAGGAATGCCTCCCAGGCATCAGTTAACCTGCATCCCCTCACTGGCTTCTATATGTGTTATTTGGAAAAAATGCAAAAATGTACAGCTACACTCTCTGCCATGTGCCTCTAAATACAGGTAACCAATGAGCCTCCAAAAGGTTTACGTGCAAATATCAGACGTGCATTTACTGAAATGATGCCTTCATTTTTTGAAGAAAACATACTTGGAAGAAAATGGAGACAAATAATATTCGGCATTTGTTTCTTCCATGCAATTATTCAGGTACACCCAATTTGCTAATTTTTTAAATATAGACAAGGAGAAGTGTATTAGGTTAAAAGTCAATAAGGGGTTTCTATGGTGGCTCAGATGGTAAAGGATCTGCCTGCAATGCAGGCGACCCAGGTTTGATCCCTGGGACAGGAAGATTCCCTGGAGAAGGGAATGGCTACCCGCTTCAGTATTGCTGCATGGAGAATTCCATGGACAGAGGAGCTTGGCGGGCTACAGTCCATGGAGTTGCAAAGAGTTGGATATGGCCAAGTGACTAACACTTTAAATCAATAAAAAGTAAGAATTAAAAGCTTACAAATGACATTGTGAAATGCTGAGGTCTTTGTTCTGTCTGAACCCAAGTTGTTTTAACTCAGTCCCTAGACTTCCCTGGTAGCTCAGATATAAGGAATTTGCCTGCAATGTAGACCTGGGTTCGATCCTGTGGTCAGGAAGCTCACTTGAAGAAGGAAATGGCTACCCACTCCAGTATTCTTGCCTGGAGAATTCCATGGACAGAGTAGCCTGGCAGACTATAGTCCATGGGGTCGCAAAGAGTCGGATATGACTGAGCGACTAACATGCATACTCCCTGATTTCTGTATGACCCTTGCCTCTGTACCTCACAGCTTTGCTTCCCAGCTCTGCTCTGACCTAAGGAGCCACATGTCCTGGACGAATGCAGTAGGTCAAATTCAAAAGCATGAAGTTGTCTCCTTAGCTGTGCTTCACTCACAAAATCTGCTTCCCCTCCAGACTCTACTCCTGAAATCGGCAGTCCCATTTTTTTAATCACCTACCATCAGAATTTCAGGACTGTTTTTATCCTTCCTCCTTTACACATATATATCATGTGGGTCAACAAGTCTTCATTTTTTATTACAATAATTTCACTCTCATCTGTTTCTGTTTGAGTGGGCTTACCACCCTTAATGGCTTCCTCCCTGTGATTAGATCCCCAAGTCCCCTGACCAGTGACCTTCAACTCAACACTACTTTCTCCTTCCCTCTGTTCAAACTCACTGCCCTAACCTGGTGTCCATTCTGTGGCCTTGTACAGGAACTCTGACTTTAGCTCTGTATCCCTGTCTTGATTAGGTAGGCTGCCTGGTTTTCAAATGTATTTGGTCTGCCAAGAAAGAATTAGCAGAGAAAAAAACAAAGACTAAATATGTAAGATATAGAATAAATAAGTAAACAAGACCCTAGAGAAAATCAAAGACTCTGGGATTAGAGAGTCTGTGTTGGAGGCCTTTGTTCTACTACAAAAGCATCTGAGATGTAGGAAGTGGTTTAAGACTTAGGGAAATTTTGAAATCAAGAGGAGCAAATAGAGTATAATTGCCATTATATGGGAACTACCTAAGTGTCCCTCAAAGATGAATGGATAAAAATGATTATATATATATATATATATATACAATGGAATACTAATCATTCATTGAAAAGAACGAAATTTTGCCATTTGCAGCAACATAGATGGACTTGGAGGGCCATTATGCTAAGTGAAATAAGTCAGAGAAAGACAAATACTGTATAACATCACTTATACATGGAATATAAGAAATGCAACAAACTAGTAAATATAACACAAAAGAAGTAGACCCACAGATACAGAAAACAAACTAGTGGTTACAGGTGGGAGGCTATATGGGGTGGGGAAGGAGGAGTGATAGTTTATGATGAATGGTGTCAGATTTGTGACCTCTGGAGGAAAGAATTTAGATCTGGGGCCAGAGACAAGGCTTGATCACTCAGAGCTTTTGTGTAGCAGAGTTTTATTACAGTGAAAAAGGGATAAGGAAAGCTTCTGACATAGATATCAGAAGGGGGTAGAGAGTACCCCACTCAATAGTTTTATCAAGGCCTTATATACTTTTACAATTGGTTTCTACAATAGAAAGTTCTTACCAGACCCACTCCTACAACATACATGTTAAGATAACAGGATTAGAACTAACAATAGAAAGGTCTTACCAGACCCACTCCCACATAAGATAACAGGATTAGACAGAAGTTTCTCCTTAAGAAGGAGAAACAAGTTCTTGAGCAAGATACATTGTTGTTATATACTCATTAGTACAGAGCTTAAGAAAAAACATACCCTTGATCAAGATGAGTTGTCTTGTTGTGTAATAATTAGCTCTGGGCTGAAAGAAAATAATGTCTTATGTGACTAAGATGAAGGAATGTAGAAAAAAAAAAAAAACTTGTCCTTTTCTCCTCCTTGAGAGCCAGGGACTCCTTATCAACCTATCTGAGAATTAACTCTCTCAGGAGGTACAAACTGTTGAGTATAAGATAAGTATTGTACAATATGGGGACTATAGCCAATATTTTGTAGTAACTGTAAATTGAGTGTAGCCTTTAAAAATTTTATAAAAGATAAGTTTAAAAAAAAAAAAGAAGAGGGAACATGGCACCCATCCTCTGATATAATCAGTAGTTTGGAGTTAAGAAATTAGGTAGAAGAGGGCGATAACAAAGAGCAGGAAAGATTTCCCTGTGGAAAGTCATGAAACAGGAATTGAGATTCTGGATATCAGTTTTTTTAAAAGATCTCTATAGAGAAGTCAGTGTATAATCAACCCATTAGGCATGACTGAAAAGTCTACGTGATGGACAGACTACTGAGAAGATTTAGGGGCAGCTCTCTCCATCAGACAGGTGATTAGCATCAGTATTTTTATACCAAGAAGACTCTAGGGTGGAATATTTTTTCCTATTTTGATGGGGAAATATTTTATTTTACCATAAAGAACAAATGTTCTTTTGTCAGTTCTGTCATGATTTCACATTTCCAGTAACATCTAATTATCTTTTGGAAAATTGGAAAAAGGCCAGAGTTGGAGGAAGAGGTGCCTGCCCTATTTGGTGAAAGTCAAATTGAAAGCCTCACTCAAGTTGAATGGCATTTTGCACAATGAGGATGCCAAACTTCAACAGAAACTCTGGTTTTCAAGTATTTTATGCAGAATTAATTTTATCAAATTTTAAGGCCACTCTCATTTTCTGTTCTAGGAGAGAAAAAAGTTTGGCCCTCTTGGTTGGAATATCTGCTATGAATTTAATGATAGTGACAGGGAATGCGCTCTACTGAACCTCAACCTTTACTGTCAAGAAGGAAAGATTCCCTGGGATGCACTGATTTACATCACTGGTCAGTATGCCCACATGGTCTGATGTCCAGCTCTCCACCACACAGCTGTTGGTTTACACCTACCTGGCTTATACCAAGATGGTGTCCTCCCAAGTGTATGGTGAGGGTGGTGATGACTTCTGATATTCCCTTTGAGAAGATAAGACCGTGATAAGAGTATCATAAGAATGTTTATACAGAGAAGACGGGACAGATATTTTCCCAGATAATAATAGTGAACTCTTAGATAGTTCTTGCTACATGCCAAGCACATTTCAGGCACAGCCCATGAATTAGAAGATTTAATCCTCATAAGAACCCTATAAGGTAAAGACCATTATATCCCTATTTTACGAATAAGGAAACTGAAGCACACAGTTTACAAGGGTGAAGGCAAGATTTAAATGCAGGCAGTCCAGCCTCCAGAGTTTGTGCTCTTAAATTCAAAAGAATCTGAACATGGTTCACCAATAGAGACCTATTGAGTCAGGGGTACTTACAACAAAGGAAAAAATACTTTATGGAGTATAATTTTTAGCAAATATTAACTGTGGCCCCGTGAGATCTTACTGATAAAACTAGATCCAGTGTAGACCATGCAGGCCCAAATAATGAAGAAAAGATTCCCATTAGGAGGTGGGGGAGGGAGAGAGCCTGCAAAGGAGCAGAATGGGAATGGATGGTTTTCATTGGTCAGCAAAGGAAATGAGGAACAGCAGAGAGGGGTCAGCTGATCTAAAGACTTGAACAGCATGTGACACCTTGGAACATGCTTGAGTGAAGGGCAGTGAAACAATAGTGAAAATGGATGAGGACCTATCTCCAGGCTGGACGAAGAAGGGTGGGCATGGAACCTGGGAAGCTCCTTTGTACTTCTGCCCCCAGCCACTCCTGTGGGGCCAAGATTGCTTAACATAACAGTGAACTAAACAGTATTCTTCCCTGCCACCCTGTACATACCCTGAAATTTCTGCTTCCTAGCTTTTCTCTGCTTTCTTTCTTTCCTAGAACCTTTGACCTTTCCGTTAGCTCAGTTGTTTCTACTGCCGTGAAAGTAACGGGGTTTTGAAAAGCATAGAAAGGAACTAGACAATGATATATCTTTTCTCTCTACTACTATTCAATGTTGTTGTTTCTATCCTGGGAAATTAGAGAAGGAAAAGAAATAAAAGGCATCAGTTTAGAATAGGAGAAGTAAATTACTTGCAGATGACAACATCTTGAATGCAGAAAATCCTAAAGAATTCACACACACAGACACAAACTGGAAGTAACAAATGAGTTCAGCAAGGCTGTGGGATACAAAGTCAATATATAAAAATCAACTCCTTTTCTGTACACTGGCAATGAACAATTTGAAAATATTTGTAATTATGTTCATGATAATGTCAAAAAGAATAAACAGCTTAAGAATAAATTTAATAAAAGAAGTGCAGATTTGTACACTGAAACCTGCAAAGCATTGCCAAAGAAAATTAAAGATAATCTAAATTAGTGAAGAGACATGACATGCTTATGAAATGAGAGATACAACATTGTTAAAGTGATAACATTCCCTGGACCAATCTATAGATTTAACACAGACTTCCCTGGTGGCTCAGATGGTAAAGAGTCTGCCTGAAATGCGGGAGACCTGGGTTCGATCCCTGAGTCGGGAAGATCCCCTGGAGGAGGGCATGGCAACCCACTCCAGTATTCTTGCCTGGAGAATCCCATGGATAGAGGAGCCTGGTGGGCTACAGTCCATGGGGTCACAAACAATCAGACACGACTGAGCAACTAAACACAAGCACAACACAGATTTAACACAATCGCTGACACATTTAACAGCTGAAGCTGATCATAAAATCTGTGAAAATGTGAAGGGCCCCAAAACCAAAAACAATCTTGAAAAAAATGAATGAGTCAGAAGAGTTATAATTCCCAATTTCAAAAGTTATACAAAGCCACAATAATCACGACAGGATTTACTGTATAGCACAGGGAGCTATATTCAATATTTTGTAATAAACTATAAAGGAAAAGAATTGGAAAAAAGATATATACACATATATGTATAATTGAATCATTTTGCTGTACACCTTAAACACAATATTGTAAATCAACTAAATTCAATTTTTTTTAAAAAAGACTATATAGTACTGGCATAATGTTAGATATATAATCAGTGGAACAGAATTGAGAATCCAGAAATAAATGCTTATATTTATCATCATTTCTAACAAAGGCACCAAGACAATTTAACAAATGATGCTGGGACAATTGGATACCTAGCTGCTAAAGAGAGAATTTGAATCCTTATCTCATAGCATACAAAAAAATTAATTCAAACTGAGTGGTGTATCTAAATGTAAGAGCTAAAACTATAAAGCTCTTAAGAGAAAGCATATAAATAAATCCTCATGACTTTAGGTTAATTATGGCTTCTTAGATATGGTGCAAAAGGCACTAGTAATTAAAGAAAAATAATAAATTCAGCTTTTTCAATATGTAAAGCTTTTACACCTCAGCAAACACTACCAAGAAAATGAAAAAGCAAAACATATACTGAAAGAAAATATTTGCAAGTCATGTATCTGATAAGGTGCCTGTCTATGAAGTGTGTAAAGAACTCCTACAACAGTACGAAAAGAAAATCCAATTTTAAAATGGGCAAAAGATTTGAATGTACATTTCACAAAAAAATACATACAGATGCTTAATAAGCCCATGAAAAGATGCTCAATTAATCATTAGGAAAATGAAAATTGAAACCATATTGAAATACCACTTTATACCTATTAGGATGACTATAATAAAAGAAAAAGACCATAACAAGTGTTATCAAGAAACTGGAGAAACTGAAACTCTCATATATTGCTGGTGGCAATGTAATGAGGTGCCACTGCTTTGGAAAATATTTTAATAGTCTTACCATATGACCTATAAATTCCATTCCACTCCTACATATATATCACACTAAAACTTGTACATAAATGTTCATAACAGCATTAGTCATAATACCAAAAAGTGGAAACAACCTGAATGTCTATCAACTGATGGATGAATAAAACAAGGTATATTCCATACAATGTAAGATTGACAACGTGTGTGCTCAGCTGTGTCCGACTCTCTGTGACCCCATGGACTGTAACCCACAATCTCCTATGTCCATGGAATTTCCTGGGCAAGAATACTGGAGTGGGTTGTCATTTCCTTCTCCAGGGGATCTTCTCAGCCTAGGGATGGAACCCATGTCTCCTGATTCTCCTGCATTGAAAGTGAATACTTTATGGCTGAGCCACTGGGAAAACCCCACAATGTAGTATTGAAAAGTAAAAGTCACTCAGTCATGTCCAACTCTTTGCAACCCCATGGACTCTACAGTCCATGGAATTCTCCAGGCCAGAATACTGGAGTGGGTAGCCTTTTCCTTCTCCAGGGGATCTTCCCAACCCAGGGATTGAATCCAGGTCTTTCGCATTGCAGGCAGATTCTTTACCAGCTGAGCCATAATTGCTCCATAAAAATAAATAAAGTACTGGTACATGCTCCAACATGGATAAACTTCAAAAACATGCTAAGTCAAAGAAGCCAGACACAAAATATCACATTCTGTATATTCCATTTGTGTGAAATTTCCAGAAAAAATCAAGTATACAGACAGAAAGTAGAAGACAGACAGAAAGAATGATTGCATGGGGCAGAATAGAAAAGGACTGTGACTGCAAATGGGCACAAGATGTATTCTGGGGAATATGATAAAAATGTTCTAAAATTAGATTATAATGATAGTTACACAATCTTGTCAATTTACTAGAAACTAGTTATACATGTGAAATTTAAGTGATTTTTATGATGTTCAAGGTATAGCTCATTAAAAAGGTTTTTAAAAAGTAGGAAGGAAAAAGCAATGCTGGGGACTTCCCTGGTGGCCCAGAGTGGTTAAGAATATGCTGCCAATGCAAGGGACACAGGTTCAATCTTTGGTCTGGGAAGATTCCACATGCCTCAAGCAACTGGACCCATGCACCACAACTACTGAAGCTCAGAGCCTATACTCTGCAATAAGAGAAGTCACTGCAATGAGAAGCCCACACACCACAATGAAGAGTCGCCCCCTCTCTAGCTGCAACTAGAGAAAGCCTGAGCATAGCAATGAAGACCCAGTGCAGCCAAAAATAAAATAAATTTTAAAACTTATTTTAAAAAGGCAGTGCTGTATCCAGGCAATGATATTTGCTCATGATGAGATTTTAGGCAGTCATCTATGGATTAATCCAGAAAATACAGCTTAGTTCTACTATGTTAAAGGCCGGAAATACAAAGATGATGTAGCCCCCATCTACCAAAACTTCATGGGTGGAGGTAATAAATAAACTATAATATGGTATAATTACCAAAATAGAAGTTGTAAGGACAATGCTATGGGAATTCAAAAGGAGCAATAATAATGCTCCTGGAGGAATCTAGGGAAGCTCCACCAAGGTGTGATGGTTGAGCGGGATGCTGAAAAGTGGGTTGGGCTCAGTGGAAGACAAGAGGCAGAAGAGCACGCTGGCAGAGAGAACACTGATGGGAAAGCCCAGCAGTGTCAGGATGAGCTATGCCTGCAGACACTGTGAATAGTTCAGTAGTGCTGGAGCAGGCTATAAAGAGATGATGTTGTCTTCCCTGGTTGCTCAGTGGTAAAGAATCCACCTGCCAGTGCAGGAGACACAGGTTCAATCTCTGGTCTACAAAGATCCCACATGCCACAGAGCAACTAAGCCCATGCGTCACAACTACTGAGCCTGTGCTCTAGAGCCTGGGGAATTGCAACTACTGAAGCCCAAGCACTCTAGAACGTGTGCTCTGAAACAGAAGAAGCCACAGCAATCAGAAGCCTACGCACCACAACTAGAGAGTAGCCCCTGCTCTCCACTAGAGAAAAGCCTATGCAGCAACAAAGACCCAGCACAGCCAGTACTAAATAAATAAATCATTTTTTTAAAGAGGTTTTGTATATAGAAGAAAGCTTTACCTTCAATAAAACTAAAAAA